CCAAAGTCAAAGCTAGTAAATTTCACATAAGAGACTCACACTCAGTTTAGCTGGGACCAAAGGTAATCTAAGACGACCAATGTAAAAGCAAATAAGTTGTCTCAGAGGTGGAGACATGTACAAGGGCTATGGCACTTGCCTTGCATAGGGCTATAGGCTGCTCCAGTCTGCTCCTTAGAGTACCTATGATCTCCCAAGTACCACAGGAATAACAAAGAGTCCAAAAATAAATTTTGAGTACCACTGAGTATGTCCCAAAATCAAAGATAATAATAAAATAATAACAATAACAAGATGCGCCCAAAGTTTCTATTGGAAATGCATCATCCCCAAAATGCCATTGTAAAAAAGATTATAGAGCACATTTTATGTGACTAAAACACTCCAAGTATAGCTATCAGTCTTCTCAATTTCTCCCATCTTTCTACAACCTTAAATATAGTAACAAGTATTACATCCTCTAAAAAAAATAAGAAAACATTCTTTAAGACTTGAAATTCCTGGGACTAGGAAGGTGTTAATTACCGACCAGATCCTGAAAGTATAATAAGGCTCAAAAATGTAGATATTTAAAAGCCTATGCCTTTCGTGCTTAAAATCAACTGATTTTATTTTGTTTTTGCAGACAGAAATGAATGCCATGGGCTTCACTATCTTTAATTTACATCATCTATCCACTAGAAATCTGGTCAACAAAGCTCCTTATCCCTTCTGAATAGTTTTTAAGGGTTTCTAAGGTCTCAAAGACATTTTACTCTTCAGACAGGTAAAAATGAAAAAAGAATCAATCCTAAAAGGTTTTACAGTAGCAAGAAAAGAAGACCATCTGCTTTGAGATAGCTCTGGGCTGATTTCCCCAGCAGGAGATCCCAAGCTTTATAAACCTTGTTCTCATTAAGAAAAGGTAGAGAAATTGCTGAGAATTAGTAGAAAGAATTTCTAAGCCCCACAGCAGATTAAAATAATGTTCTTAGAATAATATGCAGGTTTGAGGGGGAGTTGTATAATCTGTGTGTTTGGGTATTTTGGTTTGTCTTATAAAGGAGGACAGAATGTTACAACACTCTGCTTTTAAAATTTATTAGATGCTCTGCCTACTATTTACTCTCACATGCTCACCATTTCAATATCATCTTTACAAACTTATTTATTCTGGATCAGCAAAACTTCCGATGGAAAATGAGAGCTCATGGAGAATAAATCTTCATCATCCTTTTGTGCTGAAATGCCAGGAGATCTGAAAACTAATCCTCTGTACACTCTCATGTTCATTTCTGTCCACCTCCTGTCTCCCTGGATTCTAGCCCTGATGCTCCCATATCAAATTGATTTTTATTTAACAGAGGCCTTTACCAGCTCCACAAATAACTGCTCCATGGTCTTTGAACTATTATTTCTATTGCCCACTTTACTTTATTCTTTGTTCATTCGCTGTTTTAAGGCGTTCTATCCGAGGGGATACACAGGTGAGCATATTCTCTAAGTGAAAGACACTTTTGAAATTCCCAGTAGACAAGCTTAGCCAATAGGAGGTACGTTACTTATCTTTGATTTCTCCCTAACCCTTTACTCCACTCTTATTCAAATGAAACAGATTTAAAAGCTTGTTTTGCCTATACCCAAAGCACAAAAGGCTTTTTAAGACTAAGAGAAAAAAAAACCAAGCTAAAGAAAGAGAGAGAGAGAGAGAGAGAGAGAGAGAGAGAGAGAGAGAGAGAGAGAGAGAGAATGAACACAATTCCTTGCTTCCTGGAGAATATTTTCCCCAGAGCTTTAGAGTAATTCTGTTTTAAAAATTAATGCCCATCAAGGACACTGATAGAACACTTCCTATTAATAATGTTTTGCAAGTAACGGAAGAATCATGTCATTTGTAGAAGGATCAAGAAATGCCATTCCAAAATCTCAAGCCTAATGGTAAAGTATCCAGTTATAATTAACCTTGATAGAGAAGAAAAATAATTCTATAACTTAATCAAGAGACCATCTTATGCTCTCCTCATTTTCTATATAAAAAAAAACTTATAAAAAGGAGGGTTCCATGCTAAGTAGCAGCCCAAGGTTTAAGAGATGATTTTTGACAATGTCCAGTGCACAGCTCAGTCTAGCACATACAATCTACTGCTCCATGTTGTAACAGGCAACTAAACATTTCCACCTAGTCACATGTCTTCTAAGACTTCACAATGCTGGGGCTGGAGCACAGAGGGTAGGGCATTTGCCTTGCACGGGGCCGACCTGGGTTCGATTCCCAGCATCCCATATGGTCGCCTGAGCACCGCCAGGAGTGACTCCTGAGTGCAAAGCCAGGAGTAACCCCTGGGCATCGCTGGGTGTGACCCAAAAAGAGAAAAAAATAAAATAAAATTTCACAATGCCAACTCACTGTCTAAGCAATGTTCTCCAAAGATGATAGTTGGTTTATCATCAACTATTCCTAACCTCCAGAACTGGGTACCTGCAATCTGCAAGAATCCTTTACTGCACTCAGGTTACTGAGCTGAAAAGGACGCAGTGTAGATTCTAAGACCATGTGCTTTCAGTTAAAGGTCACCGGCCACACACATGCACTTTTCTATTTGCTATTTATTGTGCGCACAGCATAGCTGTACAGCCAACAGAGCCTTTTCATTGCTTATTAATGCTAGAGAAGATTTTTAGGCCCCTCTCAAATTTTAAGAACTGCAGTATTTTGGGGAGCAAATGCTCTGACCTTTAAAACCTATTTGGTAATATGACAGAACCCATCTGCACAGAACACAAAGGCACCGGACATCTTTATAGCTGCTTAATGAGTTCTTAGAGATTTTTTTTAGAAAAAGAAGTCACATTTCTTGGTCCACACAAAATCATACCACAGACAAGCTACCAACAGAAGAAAATCAGCCAGTTCACATTATCATAGATAACTCACCATACATCATATATAACTTACTATATAGTATTTTCGAAAATGCCAAGGCAGGAGAAAAGTGAATAAAGGACGAAGAAGGGGAACAAAAGCTGAAACATTAAAACACCACTGACCAAAAGGCAGGCTCTGTCCTTAGAGTCAATGTGCTTGACCCACATTACAGCGCCTTATTGCCCATTCGAACTCTTTTGATGTAGTTCAAGAAGAGCTTGAGTCAGGCACAAATTTACCATGTACAGCCCTATATAATGAAACCAACTGTTATATTCAAAGCTGTTTTTTCCCACCAGAACATGCAAACAGCACTTAAATAATTTCATCACCAGGATGCTGACACTGAGGAACTAGAAGGTGGGAATCAGGGCACACTTGGCATTTAATGAAGGTGGTAAAAGGGCCATCTCCAAATCCACTACCTAACACTTCAGCATCAGAAACACAGTATTAGGTATGAGCTAAAATCATATCCTATATGTAGTCAGTGGTCCTATTCAAACTACCCCCCCAGGGTGAACAATTAGCATGAGACCAGAGGTTTCTGTCGCTTGATCAATACCAGAGATTTTTGTTAATTGGCATTTTGAACAAGGTCTTCATTGCTCCAATCGAAGTCAGTATGATGGATGTTAAACCAGATTTCTGTCATTGAAACTAGTAATAAAGTAAGTTCAGCTGGCAAAGTTATTAAACATTTTTTAATGATAACCTCATAGAAGCTGATAACCTTGTAGAAATGATAACCTCACAGAAATTTCAGGAAAGCACCAATATAAATCAACACTGGCATCTATGGCATTAAAATCACTATTAAGGAACTTAGTAGCAAAGTCATTTTAGCACTGAGTCCACCCAGGTGCACCAACAGGAGGCCAGAATTTGTGACTAGAACTGACACCCAAGGTACAACTGCTGAACAGCCTCTGTCCAGAAGCTGGTTCACAGGAGTCTGTGGGTTGAATTTCTCAAAGGTGAGCAAGCCCTGCCCTGGCAGAGTTGTCAGATTCTCCACCTTGGGTGAAACAATCCAAAAAAGACTTGTTTGGGACACTCAGAAGGATACAAAGCACAGAGTGGTGCTCTGAGTTTACAGGAAAATTGAAGGAATGCTTTGTTCTCTTTGTTAATAAACGTTTACTAAAAGTTTTCATGCAGCAGAATATGGCTTGCCATTTACTTGGACTGTGTAGGATTAGCAAATTCTACCCTCAAAATCTCAGACACTTTTTTTTTCTGTGACTGCTACTATTTGTCCAACAGAATCTGGAGTTGGCTATGACTCAATTGGTTTAAGATCATTCTCAAAAACAGTAACAGTGTGTAAACTGTTGCACTGGAACCCACCCACATCTTAGGAACTCTGTAGAATTTTACAAGTCAGTTGCTAAAAATAGTCAGCACTATAAATTTAAAACATCTAAAGAAATATATGGAAGAGATATACAAGGGGTAAGGCACTTGCCATGCCTGTAGCTACTTCTGCCAAACCTGATTTGATCCTTGAGTACTAACAAGGGTCACTGCTGAACCAAAGAGCTAGGAATAGCCCCTGAGCACTGCTGTATGGCCCCAAAATAAAAAAATAATAAATTCTCAGGGGTGGAGAGATAGCAAAGTGAGTAAGGCACTTGCTTTATATTTAGATACCCAGAAGAATTAAAAAAATAGAAACTTACAATCAGAGACATTATACTGAAAAGAAAGGTGATAGATATTCAGCAAGGATTCATTCATTTCCTAATGATTTTGCTACATATAGTTTATGTCAACTATATCTGTATGGTGAAGCACGTCATAGAGTTTCCCTGGGCATCTCCTTGCAGCTTTACATTGGGTTTTCTCTCACATTACTGCTCAAAACAGGTGGAGTTGGGAGGATTTACTCAAGAGAAATTCAGAAGCACTTCTTCGGGAGGGTTTTGTGGACTGGTTGTTAAGCATCTCTGACTCCACTGCTGTGGAAACTGATGAATTAACAGAGGTGTCTCAAAGTACTCAGACATCAATGAGCCCCACAACCCATTTTCTTGAGAGGGACCACACTGCCATGCACACCCGCCGCATGCCCCTGGGGCGACAAACAACTCACTTTTGAAGCAGCCGGGTCCACTAGTCGCTGGCGATGTCGGGCTGAGTTGAAATGGCTCTTCGGAGGCTGCCCTTCCTGACAGTGAGTGGAAGATGGGGAATGAACGAGAGATGGGGGCAGAGAAGGCGGGCATGGGATGACGGGAAATGGTCAGAAAAGGGAGAGGGACAGTGTTTAACCATACTGTTCTTGTTGATTTTACTGAAAAGCACATAAAAACACATGTTCCCCATTCCACCACCCAAAAGCACATGCCATATGAAAGTCATTTTGTTAAGAAATGCTGCCTCATCCAGTCAGGCAGATGTGGAATAAAGACAGGAATATGGTCTGCCAGAGACATTCACCATCACATGTCATTTTCCTATCATTTTAAGGGTAAGAACTGGAACACAGTTTCTTTGAACATGGAGTCATCCTTCATAGGACAGAATTTAAGCAGCAATTTTAGTTAGTCTTACCACCCATTTGAGTATCACCTAGATAACATGAAAATCAGGTCTCCCTCCCTCAAAAACATCAACAATCTGCTTCAGGAGCCCTTCTCTTCATCCTCCTGAAGAATGCACGGTGTCTAGCAGCCACCAAGCCTTCTTCTCCCTAAGTGGAATTTAATATCACTGGCTCAAACAAATTTCATTTCAAAACCTCCACAGAAGGGCAGTCATGCCTTGACCAACTGTAGTAAGGTCCTGGCCTTAAACACACACACACACACACACACACACACACACACACGCACATACACACACGCACACACACACAAGTCAGTATGCTTCAAAAGGGGAAGTTGGGAAGAGGGTTGCCCATAATTGTTTTCTGGCTTGACTTCTCCATCTTTCAAATTTGGAGAATCAAGAATCCAAGAAACAAGAATATTCACACTCTAAGCATGACCCTGAAGACTGGAGGTGAAAGAAGCAGAGATTGGATCCACATCTCCTGGCTCAGTACCCCTGGGGCAAGGGGGTGACTTTGTAGGGCACACAATGTGCCACCCACATTTGCTTAGTGCTGTTGACAGAGAGTGAAAAGACCTTCTACTTAGGTAAAAATGCAATGTCTATATTACAATTCTCTCTCCTTTTTTCTCCCTTCTTGGAATAACAGCTCTATTACTTTTAAGACACGGATCAATCATACCCACTTGAATTGCCAACAATCACCGCTTCAGTGTCCAAAGTATAACACTTACCTTTCAAAAAAGGAAATGTCATAAGTAGCAGATTGCAAGTCAGGATTATATTTTTCCTAGTAACTGCCCTGCCAAACGGGCATGCTTTCTCTAACCTCATCTGGAAAATTGCAAGAAAGGAGTCTACCACGCTCAGCTGCCCAAAAAAATGTACCAAAGCTCTAACAGTAGAAGTGAGAGTTGTTAATTCACTAAGCAGTTGGAAAACTAAAAATGAGCACGGTGCCCAATTCACTAGATTCAGTTTCTACATAAGGAGTAGGTTTTTTGCTTTTTTGTTGTTTTATTTTTTTAATTACAGAGGAGTGGGTTAAATGCTTGCTTTGAGGTGGCTTACCCAGATTTGATTTCTGGCAACCCAGTTGGTAACCCCCAAGCCTGCCAGGAGTGGTCTCTAAATGCAGAGCCAGGGGTAAGCCCTGAGCATTGCTGGATGTGGTCCCAAACTCCTCCCCTCCTCCTACCCACACACAAAATTGGAGATGGATTATTTATGGTGATTTGAAAATTCCCCTTTAAGTTTAATAGTTTATCAGAAAATTGCCTTCTTGTGTTTTTATCCCCAAATACAAGTTATCAGATGTAAATAATTATCCTCATTAATATATCTGGAAAAATATCCACCCTGATTAACCTCCCTATGGAGTAGTAACAACCGAGTTAGGACTTCCAATGCACAGCACCAGGCTCCCACTAATCAGGGAAAAAAAAATTAATCTTGGCGTTAAATACACAATTACAGTCAATGTGCAAATTAACTAAACCCTGGGCCTGTGGTTTATTGCTCTTCTTCTGACTCTAAGGTGAAAATGTTATTTTTTTTTAATCAGCTAATTGCACCATGAACTCAGCAGGGGGCAGATGTTGATATTAAGCCTAGAATCAGAATTTTAAACTCCCAGTTTGTGAAAGACTAGTTTATAAAGAGTCAATGCATCTTTCGATGGGGAGTGAGAGACTGGGGAGAAGGGGAATTCTGAAACCTGGTCTCCATTTTATCTCATTTATTATCAAGTGCAATAAATCTGGAACAATATTCTGCCTGGGCTGAACAAATAGGACTATAAAATAATCAATATATTTACACAGATTCCAGTAATACATCTTAATAGAAACCAAAGAACAGCCCAGAAGGTTAGTGTCATTTTAATGAATTGCATGAGGAGTGAAAATAAAGAAATTATGAACAGCTCATAGCAAGTTTTTCTCCTTATGATTCATATCTTAAACTAATCTTAATTTTCAATAAGTGTCATACTGACAATGTTGAAAGAACTCTCTTCTGTTCTGTTGCAGAACTATTTAAGAGTCAGTTTGAGCTTCTGAGACGTTGTGGGAAAGTGTACACAGCTAACTCCTAGAATGGAACATTTGGAAGCAGTTTAATTCATTAACAGCAGGACAAGTATGCTTCTTCGCTTTATGTAAACCTAAACTGAAAATCTCTTTCCAGCCCTACAAAGATTTCTCTTTTCTTTTTTCAGTCTTGTTTCAGGCAAAGGCCTTGGCACAATCAGGGAAGGTAGAAAATAATGCACCCCTGGGCAAATGGGGCTCTCTCAATTACTTACAAACTATTCTACATTTTCAAAAAAAGCAAACAGGACTCTCAAAGGGTCCTACAGAAAACCAGCACATCTATGAAACAAATGCTCAAGTACGGTTTCCTAGTGTTAAAAATAAATAAATAAATAAATAAATTCTATCACTCAGGCTAACATGAAAAACAAAAATTTGTGACTTCATTTTCTCCCAAATTCTGGGTCCAAAGAATTCATTTCTCTTACAAAATGACAGCCTTCAGACTCTGGTATCTGTCATTACAGTCTGAGACATCAGTCTCCGGGTACCATTTACCTCCTGGCTACTGCCATCAACATCAGCAAAATAACAGATTGGACCAGGGCGGGCCCCACAGGGCTCTCAACTGAATGACTTATTTACATATGCAAATGAAACCTTCACTGCAGGGGAGGAGAGCAGAGAGGGAGGGTTACATGCCTCACCATTCATTTTGTATAAACAAAAGCACACTATATTGCTTAGGTCAACTTAACAAAACTCCTTTTGCTATAAAATCCATCACTAATAAAAGTAGCGACCCTCATATATGTAAATAAACTATTAGACAATGACAAAAGAAGTGTTGACATGTGCATAATCTGGAAACTTAATGAGACATATTTCATCTCCATGCTAAACACTTTCATCAAGCCTTCTCCTGTTAAGTAAGTCATTTCAGGAATTATTAACATCCCTTAATACTGCAGATCATTCTTTTTAAAAAAAAAATTATTGTTCCCTAAACATTGTAGATCTGATAGTATAGTACTTTAGCCTAATTTGCATCAAATGAACATATTTACAAGTAACGCTCTGTGGAAAACAATATCTCAGGCATGAAATAATGGGTGCCCAATGAATTTAGTAGCTGACACCAGATTATTTAAAAGCTTACTTCTTTTTATCAGGTATAAGTTACTCTATCTCAAAATTAGAGCCATGAGGAAAAATTTAAAAGTATGTATATCTATAATTTTGGCATGAGTCCTATTATTATTTTTTAAAATATCTATCATTAAACATTTGCAGCATAGGGATTTTAGTATAAGAACAAAGGAAAAAGACAGTGAGTTGTTTCATGCACTCCTAGACTTGTTAAAGTCTAATTCAAAAGAGTTTTAATTCTGGAAAAAATCATGTCCACTCCTAGATAAGAATAAACTTTATCACTCAACTTTGAGACATCTTTTAATGTGCCATAAATATTTACCACCCCCAATCTAAAATCTTAAAAACTCATAGTACTGCAGCTAAGTATTGTGAAACTATTACAAGCAGGCTCTACTATGGAACTTTTGCCCACAATGAAATCAATCTCGATGATACCAAGTCCAAAGACTCAACCCAAAATAAATTCAAAAAATTCACCAGATGGAGAGATTTAACAATTACTAAGCATATCAAAATAGGGATCAGAAACCCAATTGAACATGGAAGAAATGTGCCACTTAGAAATGAGAGCACATTAATGATTAAGGCATCACGGGCTTCTAAAACCTATGGAACTAATCGCAATCATTTGTGAAGACTTTTTATCAGAAGATGTGAAAATAAAAGCAATCATTTTTTAAAATCCCCTTTCAAATCCAGCTTTTCAAGAGGAAAGTCAGCAAAAACAGAGACGGCAGAGGATGCCCCTGTCCTCTACTTCCAAAAGCAAACTCTTTGGTAATAGTCTTTCTTCTAGATGATGCTCAAGAAGAGACATTTCGTATCAAGAAGCAGTACATTGCCAACACTTCAGCAAGGTGATCTATTTTCTGATCTAGTCTACTTCTTTTTCAAAACACATACTGGTCTCTATCTAATATTGATGATTTGACCTTCTGTTTAAAAACCAAAACACAGGCAGGATTCTCAGCCTGCCATGTGACAGAAATCACCCAAAGGGAACTCCTGATAAGTGCTTTTGCATGTCCCCACTTCAGTCACAAGCTGAACCATAATTTATGTCCATGTTCAAAGTGTGCTGATAGAGGCGCTGTATGTATCCCTAACTCTTTCATGGCAAAAAGGCACATGAGAAAATGCTCTACATCACTAGTCATCAGAGAGATGCAGATCAAAACAACAATGAGATATCATTTCACACCACAGAGACTGGCCCATATCCACAAGAACAAAAGCAACCGGTGCTGGGCGGATGTGGTGAGAAAGGGACCTCCTTCACCTTCACTGCTGGTGGGAATGTTGACTAGTCCAACCCTTTTGGAAAACAGTATGGACGATTCTCAAAAAATTAGAATTTGATCTCCCATTTGACCCAGCAATACCACTCCTGGGAATATATCCCAGAGAGGCAAAAAAACATATAGTC